TTGGGGGCAGGCCCTCCTGGGGAGGCCCCGGGAAGTGTGGGAGCCCGGAGGAGCCAGGTGGGGCCAGGAGGCTTGCCGAGGTCTTGGACCATCCAGCCAGACCCAGTGTCCACCCCGGGGCTTGGTGGTGTAGACTGGTCTGCCCTCACCGTCGCAGCCATTGCGTGTCGTGAAGGAGGGTGGTGGGGAACCCCCAGGCAGGGGGTGATCAGGCTCTCGGGCAAGCAGGGACAGCTTGCACAGAGAGAGAGGCACAGGGCCAGACCATGTGACCAGGCTTCCAGTTAACCCCACAGGCCGCAGGAAGGCAGTGGACCCGTCCACCACCCTGATCACAGACCCACCTGCAGAGCTGCACCCCAAGGCAGCCACAGAAAGTGGAACCTATCACCTTGTAGGGGACAGGGATCAGACTGTTGGGGGCCAATGCCAAGACCAAAGGCTTGGCAGAAATAATTATTGTCTTTGAGAGAGAGAGTTTAATAAAAGGGCAGAAAGGGAGGGAGAGAAGGAAAGAAAAATAAGAGACAAATAGGACACAACTGACAAGATTTGACAAGGCTGAGTAGTAGATAACAGAGATCATGGATTGTTACATGGCTTCCTGGTTTTTCTTGAAATGTCTTATCTTTTAAAACCTGAACACAATATGAATTAAGTCAATGAGTAAATTCACACCCACACACACACACACACACACACACACAAACCCTGAACATACCAGGTATACGCTTTAAGAGATCAAGTCTTTCTGCAACGCTATTTAATATAAGGTATTAAATGCCTAAAAGTACTCATTTTAAATCAAATAATTGTACACCAGGACATGCAGATGAAGATTTATTCATAGGCTTCTCTCTTTTTTTTTTTCTCAAATGTAACGGGTCACTCATTTATCTCACTCTAGAGGAAAGGCATATGCTAAGTTAACTTCCCAAATAAACAAGCTATTTTGACAGCAGGCAGAGCCTTCCAGACACAACCGACGTTTCCTTGGTGACTCCTGAGTACTGTAATCAACAACCACAGTGCACACTGGTAGACTCACTGACCCCGACAGTGGCTGAGGTTGGGGGCACATTTCCTCCTGGCATGGCTTTTTCCTGGAGAGCTCATTTCCCTGTCTCTCAACTCTTTCTTCTTCCCTCACCTTTGGCCGCTATTTCTTGCTGCTCTCCACTGAATTCTCACTAAAAAGCTTGCCTTCTCCTATCTAATCAGATTTTTTTATATGTTAAAAACCCCAAGGTAACCGAGTTGGGACACAGGCTGTCTAAAGGAGATCCCATCTGCCCGAGGCCCAGAGATGGTCCCCGCCATCCGAGGCGCTGGCTCACAGTTGCTCCTCCTGGGTCCCCCCTCAGCACTCCCCAGCAAGAAGCCTGGATTGCTCATGTCCTGAAGCCATTTGGAAAAGCAAGGCCAGGGAGCATCGTCCTAGGACAGTCTGTGACAGCTGGTCCCTGTGCCGTACCAGGTACTGTCTTCATGGGGACTCGGTGGTGTTGATGAACTGGGGTCTCTGGGGTGGGTGGAGGTTTAGATGGGCAGAGATTTACTTCACAGGAAACTCTGCCTCTGGGTTGGCCCTGATGTCTGAAGAATGGCCCGTGGATGATTGAGGGCCACCTGGACTTGTGACACAGGGGAAATTAGGGGTAATCATTATCACATTTTCCAAACACGACCGTCTTCACAGCCTGACTTAACTTTGGCAAACAAAATAAGACAGTGCTGCCCATTGTGAATACACTGGCCAATCCCCATATCACTTATTCCTTTTGGACTAAAGATTTAATCATTAGCACTACATTCAGAATAAATCCCAGTATATTTACCGTGCTCATTTTAAAAATCTTTATTATTTTTATCAAAATGATTGCTTTGCTCATACACATTTTCATTTATTATTTATCAGCATACTCTTAAAGTTTTTCCAGTGCGGGAGATGGAATCGAGGGCTGAGCAAAACCCCAGCCTGTGCTTTTCATTTGTGAAAGAGTTTTAAAGCATTATATATGTTTACTATTTCTTCCCTTTAAAGAGAAATGGTGCAGGACTTTACCTTGCACTTTGAAGTCAAAAGGTCTCCAGATGTGTTGGAAGGCTGATGCTCAAACTAGGAAAACTGGAACTAGCAACAGACAATACAAGACTCGCAGTAGTACCAATCCCAGCCTCAAAGAACACCACCACCACTCCAGAGTGAAAATACTGGTATATTCATGTAATGCAAAGAGAAATACAGATATAAACCCTCAAAACGGAAGATATGTTGATTAAAAACGTAGCAGTTTAAGCAAAAAATATTATACAGTACTTGCAGAATGTTTTCTTCCAGTTTTAAATTACATCTAACAGAGAAATAATATTTAAAATGACAATTCTGGTTATTAATTGAGAATAACCATCAGAATAACAGCACAGCTTAACCTAGCAAACACTAAGAAAATGCTCATCTCTAGAAGTAGTGGAGCATTATGTTTCATTCATTTATTTCATGAACAACAGAACAATCTTCAAAGTGGAAATTAGTTTCATAAGACAGAATAAAACCCGGCTTCTCAAAGCACAAGCCATTTCCATAAAAGTATCTCAACTTTTTGTTGGCAAAAAATACCCAAACGATTTACTTGGCTTCCAGAGCCCCACCATCCTTGAGCCACAATGGATACATACAAAAGCATGCAACACTGTATTTTCTCCACACCTTCACTAACCAAAACACTTTGTACTCTTTTGAAAGTTACAATGTCACTGAGACGTTTCCATTCAAGGTTGATATAATACAGAGAGCAGCTGCGGCTGCTGTGTATTTAGTATAAACTAGGAACCAAGTCCTTACTTAACTGCTTTAAAAAAAAAAAAAAAACACTGCCTACTGACTCCGATTTCTGTCAAGTTCAATGTCAACATTGAGCTAAATTCTTAAGCTTTGGAAGAACCCCACTGTGCAACTGACGCTGAGCTGGCAGTCCAGACAGCGCTTAGGTCAACTTTCCCCCTTCCTCCTGCTTCCAACTGAAGACACCCAAGGAAGCCGACTCCTGAAGCCCCTCACCTCTGTCTACCTCACTGCAATCTGTGATGCCACTTGAGGTTGTCAAAAATAGCTTCTGTAGAAAACTGGCCGTGGTCTTTAGGAAAATGCATGAAGAAAATTAGCCTTTATTGAAAAAAAAAAATGCAGACGTGAAAGAAAAGTCAGAACCAGTACAAAAGGACTGCAGGGCTATCCCAGGAAGAAAGGATGTTGAGGAGGACGAGTGTGCGGAGTTGCCCCTCCCCCGCCCCCCCAACAGGAGTCTGTACAATCCAAGTGGGTGTCCACTTTGAGAGTCGTTTGGAAGGCAGCTCCGAAAATTAAAAAGGGGACCGGACAGGGAGAAGCGAGGTCACTGTCCAAGCCGAAGGGGATGCTGGGTTGGGTTAGGGTGCAGAGAGTCCCTCACAAGCCGATGCCCTTCAAGTCGCAGGGGAGGGTGGCCTGCGTGGTCCGGGGGCTCTGACAGCAGGGGAACTGGGCCCTGAAGCAGTCTCTCAGCTCCCTGTTGAAGAGGAAGCACACCACCGGGTTGATGCCCGCCTGCGCGAAGGTGAGCCACACGGAGGCCGTCAGGTAGGCCTGGGGGACGGCGCCGGGCCGCACCAGCACCCGCAGGTAGCTGGCCACGACGTAGGGCCCCCAGAGCAGCAGGAAGAGTAGCGTGACAGCGTAGAACATCTTGCACAGCCTCTTCTCGGTCTTGAACTCCTCGAGCACGAGGAGGCGGCGCGCGCCGCGGCCGGGCCCCGCGGGCCGGATGCCCACCAGCGCGGGCGGCGTGGGCCCGCGGCCGAAGCCCGCGGTCCAGTTGGCGGCCGCCTGGCCGGTGGCGCCGGGGCCGTGGAAGGTCCAGTCGTGGCTGACGGCGGGCACGAGGCGCGCGGGCCGCATCTTGCGGCGGTCGTGGATGAAGAAGAGCAGGCGGAGGTAGACCAGGTGCGTGGCGCCCACCACCACGGCCAGCAGCAGCAGGAAGCCCAGCGCGCCGGGGGCGCCGTCGGGCCGCTGCTCCAGGGCGCACGGCGCGTCCTCGTCGTCGCCGCCGCCGCCGCCGTCCAGCACCGGCGGGAAGGCCGCGGCCAGCGCCAGCGCCCAGGCGGCGCACACCAGCATGGCGGCGCACGGCCAGCCGGCCAGGCGCTCGGCGTAGAAGCGGTGGTGCGCGATGGCCAGGTAGCGGGTGACGCCCACGCCGAGCAGCAGGAAGGCGGCGTGGAAGCAGAAGAGCGCGGCCAGGAAGGCGAGCAGCTTGCAGCCCAGCGCGCCCGGCGGCGCCCCCGTGGCGGCCGCCGCCCGCCGCGCCGCCAGCATGACGGCCGGGAGGCAGGCGAGCGCGCGCAGCCCGTCGGCCAGGCACAGGTCGAGCAGCAGGTAGTACGGGGCGCGGTGCAGGCTGCGCTCCCGCACGATGAGCAGCGCGAACAGCACGTTGCCCGCCAGGCTCACG